TAGCATTTTTTTTTCCCTGTGCCTGTCCTGAGTAGCCAAGGTTAGATGTGAGCCACCAGTGGCCAGCTAAGCCACACTTTTTAAAGAAATATTGTCCCAGGCTGGGAAGGTGGCTCAGTGGTAGAGCGCTTGCCTTGCACGCATGAGGCCCTGGGTTCAATTCCTCAGCACCACATAAGCAGAAAAAAAGCCGGAAGTGGTGCTGTGGCTCAAGTGGTAGAGCGCTAGCCTTGAGCTGAAGATCTGAGGGACAGCGTCCAGGCCGAGTTCAGGCCCCACGACTGGACCAAAAAAAAAAAGAAATATTGTCCCATGTTCCTACTACTTTCTCTTTATTGCCTTACAATTTAACCATGGATATGTAATCAAATCACTTCTAATTTTTTTGTCAGTCATGTGGCTTGAATTCAGGGCCTGTGTGCTGCTGTCCCTGAGCTTTTTCATTCAAGGCTAGCACCCTATCACTTGGAGCCACAGCTCCACTTCTAGTTAGATAATAGTCTTATGGCCTTTTCTGCCTGGGCTGGCTTCGATTCCCAGATCTCAGCCTCCTGAGTAGCTAGGATTATAGGCATAAACCACAATCACCTAGTCTAATTTATTTTTGGTTTTGGTACAAGACCCAACTCATTGGCTGGAGCTCTACCACCTGAGCCACACCTCCAATTTCTAATTTTGTCAGGGCCCTATCCCTGAGCTGTTTTGCTCAAGGCTAGCACTCTACTACTTTGAGCCACAGCACTACTTCCAGTTTTCTGGAGATAAGTCTCAGACTTTACTGCCTGAGCTGGCTTTGAACCACAATCCTCAGTTCTCAACCTCCAGAGTTAGGATTATAGGAGTAAGCCACTGTCCTCTGGCTGATGTCTAATATTTTTCTTTTAGTTTTTGCCTGTCCTGGGGCTTGAACTCAGGGCCTACACACTGTCCCTGAGCTTCTTTTGCTCAAGGCTAGCACTCTACCACTTGAGCCACAGTGCCACTTCTGGCTTTTTCTGTTTATGTGGTACTGAGAAATCAAACCCAGGGCTTTGTACATGCTAGACAAGCACTCTACCACTAAGCCACATTCCTAGTCCTGATGTCTAATTTTTTTGTTGTTGTTGGCCATGGGGCTTGAACTCTAGGCCTGGGCCCTGTCCCTCAGCTCTTCAGCTCAAGGCTAGAGCTCTACCACTTAAGCCACTGTACCACTTCCAGTTTTCTGGTGATTTAGTGGAGATAAAAAAAAGTCTCATGGACTTTCCTGCCTGGGCTGGCTTTGAACTTTGATTTTCAGATCTCAGCCTCCTGGGGCACTAACCACTGGTGCCCCGTATGTCTAATATTTCTAAAGCATATTTTTGCAGCTTTACACACTTCTCATGTAATTCTCATAACTACTCTAAGAAAGGAATAATTAAAAAAAAATAGTTGGGGGCTGGGAAGGTGGGTCAGTGGTAGAGTGCTTGCCTTGCATGCATGAGGACCTGGGTTCAATACCTCAGCACCACATAAGCACAAAAAGCCAGATGTGATGCTGTGGCTCAAGTAGCAGAGTGCTAGCCTTGAGCTGAAGAGCTGAGGGACAGTACTCAGGTCCAGAGTTCAAGCCCCACAATCAACAAAAAAAAAAAAAAGTTGCTCAAGGGTACAAGTGTGTCTTCAATCAAGCATATGGATGGAAGTGGCATTGTGGCTCAAAGTGGTAAAGTGCTAGCCTTGAACAAGAGCTCAGAGACAGTGCCCAGGCCTAGAGTTCAAGCCCCATGACCAAAGGGGAAAAAAGGAAAACATATGGAATCATTCTTGGTTCATACTCAGGAGGCTGAGATCTGAGGATTGAAATCAGTCCTGGCAGTAATCTATAAAATTATTTCAAATTAGCCACCATAAACCTGGTGTGGTAACTCCAGTGGTAGTAGTGATAGCCTTGAGCAAAAAAAGGCTAAGATATAGAGCTAAAGGCCCTGAATTAAAGCCCCAGTATAGGGATGCCCCCCCACCCCCACACACACACCCCCAAAGCAACAAAAAAATGTTATTTTTTGCAGAGCCCAAGACTGAACTCAGACTTGCACTTGCCAGGCCAAGTGCTCTTCCAACTGAGCTAAATCCCCAACTCCTAAAAACTATAATATTTAAACATTGTACAGAAGTGTAATATTGTCACAATATAAAACCAGGTGCTGATGGTTCACATCTATAATCCTAGCCACTTATTATTTTTTTCTGGTTGGTTGTGGGGCTTGAACTCTGGGCCTGGGCCCTGTCCCTCAGCTCTTCAGCTCAAGGCTAGTGCTCTACCACTTGAGCCACAGCACCACTTCCAGTTTTCTGGTGGTTTATAGATGAGTCTCTCGGACTTTCCTGCCTGGGCTGGCTTTGATCCTTGATCCTCAGATCTCAGCCTCCTGAGTGAGTAGGTAGGATTACAGGCAGGAGCCAGCAGCACCTGGCTCTCCTAGCCACTTTTGAAGCTAAAATCCAGAGAACTGAAGTTAGAAGCCAGCCCAGGAGTCAGTCTTGAGACTGTCTTCAATTTACCAGCAAAATGCTGAACTTGAAAGCATGACTAAAGTGGTAGGACACCAACCATGAACAGTCTTGCTGAACTAAAAGTATAAGGCCCTACTAACCTCCCTCCTGTGTTAATGAAAACCTTTGAATTACCAATAGGGAAAACAAGATTAATAATTGGCAATACTAGTTTTTAGGCTTTTTGAAGGCTTTATCTTTTTTGTGCTGGTCCTAGGGCTTGAACTCAGGGCCTGGGCACTGTCCTTGAGCATTTTTTGCTCAAAGCCAGTGCTCTATCATTTGAGCCACTGCTCCACTTCCAGCATTTTCTGGTTAATTGGAGGTCTTTCCTGCCTGGGATGGCCTCAAAGCATAATCTTCAGTTCTCAGCCTTCATAGTTAGGATTATAGGCATGAGCCACTGGCACCAGGCAGCTTATATATTCCAAGTTTTCTTCCCCGGCAGTTATTTTTACCATTCCAAGTAGCAACTCAGCTGTGAAACTAAATGGTGTCTCCAGTGTCTTATTACTTCAACTTTCTATTTAAACTTTCAGAAACTGAGGTCTCAAAATTAACCCTTCTCTAGTATACCTGAATTATCATTCTAGATGTCTACAATATTTCCCATGTACCAAAACAATGCCATCTCCCTAAAAGCACTTACTAAAGTTACTTGAGTTTTTTTTTTTTTTTTTTTTTGGTTGTGGGGCCTGAACTCTGGGTCTGGGCGCAGTCCCTCAGCTTTCAGCTCAAGGCTAGCACTCTACCACCTGAGCCACAGCACTTCTGGCTTTTTCTGCTTATGTGGTGCTGAGGAATTGAACCCAGGTCCTCATGCATGCAAGGCAAGCACTCTACCAGAGCCACCATCCCCTTCTTTTACTTGAAAAACCATAGGTCAGCTGGGTGCCGATGGCTCATACCTGTAATCCTAGCCATTCAGGAGGCTAAGATGTGAGGATCTCAGTTCAAAGCCAGCCCAGGCAGGAAAGTCTGTGAGTTTCCAGTTAATCTCCAATTAACCACCAGAAAACCATAAGTGGCCCTGTGGCTCAAGTGGTAGAGCACTTGCCTTGAGCTGAAGAGCTGAAGACAGTGCCCAAGTCCCAGGACAAAAAAAAGTACAGGTAAGACTCACACCTGTGGGCAGGGAAGATGGCTCAGTGGTAGAGCGCTTGCCTTGCATGCATGAAGCCCTGGGTTCGATTCCCCAGCACCACATAAACAAAAAGGAAAAAAGCTGGAAGTGGTGCTGTGGCTCAAGTGGTAGAGTGCTAGAAGAGCTGAGGGACAGCGCCCAGGCCCAGAGTTCAGGCTCCAAGACCGGACCCCCCCCCCTTCAAAAAAAAAAAGACTCACACCTGTAATTCCACATACTCAGGAGGCTGAGATTCGAGGCTTGCGGTTTGAAGCCAGCCAGGGCAGGAAAGCCCGAGACTCATCTTCAGTTAACTACCAAAATCTGTTAGTGACTCAAGTGATAAGAGCACTAGCCTTAAGCACAGACTCAGGGACAGCACCCAGACTGAGTTCTTCAAGTCCCTATGTTAACATTAAAAAAAAAACAAACAAAAAAACACCCAAGGCTAATGTCTGGGAACGTGGCTGAGGGGTAGATTGCTTGCCTAGCATGCATGAAGCCCAGGGTTCAATTCCTCAGCATATACAGAAAAAGCTGGAAGTGGCACTGTGGCTGGAATGTGCTGGCCTTGAGCAAAAAGCAACTCAGTGACAGTCCTCAGTTCAAGCCTCAGGACTGGTAAAAACAATACCCAAGGCTTACCGTAACTTCACAGTGCCACTTCTGGCTTTTTTCTGCTTAGGTGGGTGCCAAGCAATGAAACCCAGGACCTCATGCATGCAAGGCAAGCACTCTACCGGAGCCACCTTTCCACCCCCACCCAAACTTCTTTACAGGCACTTACCACGCAGTTTCCACTTGTCTCTGAGAACCATTACATTGGTTCCATTACAGCTATGTAAGTCCTGAAAATTCATTTGGTATACAAGCACACACACAAGCTTCTAGATAACTGCCTGTGACCTATCTACCTGTACTGGTAATTTTGTATGGCCAAATGTCCAAATGACCCTTGGGAAAAAAAGGATCTCCACCCCTGTATTCCTGAAGACAAGACTACTTCCATATTCTAATGGGAATCTTATGTCTGAAAACCAGAAGTCTTAATGATGTACTGAATCAGTATGTCAGAAAACTGTCCTGTTAAAACATTTTTACCAAGTGCTGAATTTAAAGATGCTCAGTAGGCACTCAACCAAAACATGGAAGGTATGAAGGTATGGCTCATCTGCATCCCTAAACCCCACAGAATCGTTTAACTTTCATTTAAATCCTGTTTACCCTTTAAATGTGTCGTCCTTAAACAGCAAATGATATCTCACTTGTACTAATTTTAGTCATACCACCAATTCTGCTTTCACAAGCCACCCAGTTAGTTTTCATCATTACAAAATTTCATACCAGACACCAAATATGCTATCATGCAACAAAACCTTTATTAACATTTTGAACAGGTTCAGCTATTACTGAAACTGGTTAATTTCTAAACTTAAATTGGGGCAAATGGCTATAGTGCTGAGTAATGCCATCTTTGGGCACTGGGAGGGTAGACTGTAAAACTAATAGCCACCCCTGAGACGGAGAACCAGATGCAGGGTGGACTCTTTCTGGATGTTGTAGTCAGAAAGAGTGCGGCCATCTTCCAGCTGCTTGCCTGCGAAGATCAGCCTCTGCTGGTCGGGAGGGATGCCCTCTTTATCCTGGATCTTGGCCTTCACATTCTCAATGGTATCACTGGGCTCCACCTCCAGGGTAATGGTCTTGCCGGTCAGGGTCTTCACGAAGATCTGCATACCACCTCTCAGACGCAGGACCAGGTGCAGGGTGGACTCCTTCTGGATGTTGTAGTCAGAAAGAGTGCGGCCATCTTCCAGCTGCTTGCCTGCAAAGATCAGCCTCTGCTGGTCGGGAGGGATGCCCTCTTTATCCTGGATCTTGGCCTTCACATTCTCAATGGTATCACTGGGCTCCACCTCCAGGGTAATGGTCTTGCCGGTCAGGGTCTTCACGAAGATCTGCATACCACCTCTCAGACGCAGGACCAGGTGCAGGGTGGACTCCTTCTGGATGTTGTAGTCAGAAAGAGTGCGGCCATCTTCCAGCTGCTTGCCTGCGAAGATCAGCCTCTGCTGGTCGGGAGGGATGCCCTCTTTATCCTGGATCTTGGCCTTCACATTCTCAATGGTATCACTGGGCTCCACCTCCAGGGTAATGGTCTTGCCGGTCAGGGTCTTCACGAAGATCTGCATACCACCTCTCAGACGCAGGACCAGGTGCAGGGTGGACTCTTTCTGGATGTTGTAGTCAGAAAGAGTGCGGCCATCTTCCAGCTGCTTGCCTGCGAAGATCAGCCTCTGCTGGTCGGGAGGGATGCCCTCTTTATCCTGAATCTTGGCCTTCACATTCTCAATGGTATCACTGGGCTCCACCTCCAGGGTAATGGTCTTGCCGGTCAGGGTCTTCACGAAGATCTGCATACCACCTCTCAGACGCAGGACCAGGTGCAGGGTGGACTCCTTCTGGATGTTGTAGTCAGAAAGAGTGCGGCCATCTTCCAGCTGCTTGCCTGCGAAGATCAGCCTCTGCTGGTCGGGAGGGATGCCCTCTTTATCCTGAATCTTGGCCTTCACATTCTCAATGGTATCACTGGGCTCCACCTCCAGGGTAATGGTCTTGCCGGTCAGGGTCTTCACGAAGATCTGCATACCACCTCTCAGACGCAGGACCAGGTGCAGGGTGGACTCCTTCTGGATGTTGTAATCAGAAAGAGTGCGGCCATCTTCCAGCTGCTTGCCTGCGAAGATCAACCTCTGCTGGTCAGGAGGGATGCCCTCTTTATCCTGAATCTTGGCCTTCACATTCTCAATGGTATCACTGGGCTCAACCTCTAGAGTGATGGTCTTGCCAGTCAAGGTCTTCACGAAGATCTGCATTCTGACCTGTAATTTTAAAACGTAAACACGTCATTTCAGGCTTTCACATTTACACATCTAAGTCCTTCAAAAACAATTTTATTTTCTGAAAACACATTAGCAAGCCTTCGTTTGTCATATAAAGTTATTAATTACAAAAGCTGTTTAGTTAAAAGCAGGCCTTCAGTGGCTCACGTATGTAATCCTAGCCACTCAGAGACCGGAGGATCGTGTTTCGAAGCAACCGGGGCAGAGAAGTCCCAGAAACTCATCTCCAATTAACCATCAAAAAGCCAGAAATGGAGCTATGACTCAAGTGGTGGCGTACCACAATTGAGCGCGGGAGGGGGGGGGGTGGAACCGGGGGAGGAGGGGGAAAAGGGGAGGCCAAATTCAAGGCCCACTGCCCGCACAAAACGAAACAAAGAAGTCCAAAGTGCTTTCTAGGCATCCAGCCTTCCTCCCTAACTGTTGGGTCTTTTTCAAAGTCTTCCCCTACCCCACACTTTACTCAAACCTTAGCAAGGCGATAAGTGGAAAATAAAACCAAACCACAGGGCCAAAAACTCCCACTAAAGAAAGGTGAAACGCAGAACCCACGTTGAGATTCAGTATTAAAGATATTCGGAAGCCACAGACCACCTCATTCCCTCCTTCCCGTGGGAGGCAAGCGCAACGGAATCTCCATCCGTTAGGCGGCCGTTGGTCTCTGGCGCGCAGGCCGCCTCCTCTCCCCGCACGCAAACAAGGCCCACTATTCCGGCAAGGCCCGCGCCGCGTCACTCCCCACCCCCCACCTCCGAGACTCACACACACCGACGAACCGGCGGCCTGACTTCACTTCAGGCCTCCTTTCCCACTCGTTCCCTACAGGCCAGTACCTGTTACCGAAGACGAAGAGGCCGAGAATTGCCAATTATCTGGACACAGCACGGCAGCAGCTGCTCCTCACAGAGAAGTCGCCTTCTACAGCCTCGGCGCCGCGGGGCCGATATTTATGCGACGTCTGTTGCGTCACTTTTTACCTCTACGTAGCCGCTGTCTCCGTGCGCCACTAAAAGTAGTTCCCCCGTTCACACCTTCCGTGGCGCCGTTAAGTCTCTCAATTCAGTTCCAAACTCCTCACAGATGAAATAAAGGGAACTAAGGAATTAAATCCCTTTTCTTTCAGCCATCTCATCTTTTCCTTTACAAAAAAGGTGAAAAAATTACTAGGCGGATGGATTCATGTTAAAGGCTGCTTCCTCGAAAGCTCTGGAAACGTCCTTGCAGCGCCGGCGCTGATTGGTGAAGCAGGTGAAGGCGAGGCCGGTGCTGATTGGTGGGGCGCGCGGCCGCTCCACTGTTGCTGGGCTCTGAGGTGCGGCGGTTAGGAGCCGACGTTGCTAAGGAATATTGCGCGTGCGCCACAGAGCGCGCCTTCCCGAAAGACCGGTATTTCCGGCTGGTGATGGAGGAGGGGTCTTTGGTTCCAGTCAAATCCCTTTTCGTTCTCGCTAGCACGACCGCCCCCCCTCCCCCAACCCCCATCCTCTACCCCCTGCCGCCACTTGGGTCCTGGGGTTGAAACCAGCGGGCTCGGCCGCCAACCCCGGAGAGAAACTTTCTCTCCGGGGTTGGCCGCCGAGGCCCCCAGCATAGACTAGGTGCTTAGCAGCTCGGCGGCGCCCACCGCGGCTGTGAAGAACTTTCCTCACCCCCGTATTAAAAAGGCACGGCCCTCACGTTGGTGGGTTTTTCTCTCAGTCATGGCTCTAATCACAACTCTGTCGTCATAGGGCTTTTAGGTGCTTTTTTCGTGTTGAGACCTCGTCACAGAGCCAGAGTGCTCTGCAAACCGACTTCGGAGTGGAGCCGGCTGAGGGGATCCGGCCCTGGTGGGGCTCCGGGCCCCGTGGTGGGGATCGGGCCCGGTGGCGGGGCCTCTCCGAGGGGAGGCTTGGGCTCCAGGTGGCTCGCGGACTGGGCTTAGGTCTCTCCAAGCCTGTGGATCCCTTTTTCTTCCCTTGCTGCTACTCTAGACTGAGGAAGGAGGAGAAATGACCAGGGATCCGAAAACCTAGCTCCAGAGACCGGGGTGCGGGGAGGGTGGGGTGGGGGAAGGGGTCCTGTTTTTATGGAGCGTGTTTGTTTTTGGTGCTTGCGACTCGAAAGGTGGAGTTAATCAGTCAAGATGGTTTGGCTGCTGGTTTGGTGATTAGCTAGGAATGTAAATCCAGGGTTGTTTGCAGGAGGCCTTCTTGCAGAGTCATGGGGTGGGTATGTATGTAAACATGAAATGGCTGTTTTCCTTTTGTCCGGCCTTAGCCAAGTAAGGAAGTGTTCTAGAAACTTGGATATTAATATGAATTAACTTTGAACATCAGCATAACACTAATATTATTTTAGGTTGTCTAGCGTGCCCTGTCCAAGGCCTTATAGTTCCATTCCCCGTTCTGCCAAGAAAAAAAAAAGGGGGGGGTAACGCCTATGAATTAACACCTAGATAGCTTTCAGTTAGTAAAACTAGTCTTCTGTGAATTGAATAAGGAGAATGAAAGAATTTTGAAAGTAATTTCAAATGACTTGGAGGTAATTTACCAAGTGTTTAACACAGTGATTTTTGCCCCCATTTTTGTTAGCCTAACTGAATTGGAATTTGTTTGACCAATCGGCACTGCCTCTGGAATCATATGCGATGATGGATTGATTGAGCTGGAATGCAGAGCTCATGACTGGTGATGACTCCAACTGGAGTTCTAGCACTTGCCAGAATTCAGTTAGTCACACTGCTTCCTGGTTTATTGTTTTCTCAAAGTAGGTCATTTGGTAACCTCAGCACAGAAAAAAATGTTTTCAAATCGAAATCTTAAGCTATCCCTATGCAGTAAACAAGATGAACTTTTTTTTTTTTTTTTTGGGTCCAGTCATGGGGCCTGAACTCTGGGCCTGGGCGCTGTCCCTCAGCTCTTCAGCTCAAGGCTAGCACTCTACCACTTGAGCCACACTGCCACTTCTGGCTTTTTTTTTCTTTTTGCTTATGTGGTACTGAGGAATCGAACCCAGGGCCTCTGGCATGCAAGGCATGTGCTCTACCACTGAGCCACCTTCCCAGCCCCAAGATGAACTTTTCTGATTACAAACAAAACTTTTTAGTAAGACACATCATTTCTGTTAATTCCAGAAGGTAATTTGTAATCAGAGTTTAAAAAAAAATCAAGTGAGGGGCTGGGAAGGTGGCTCAGTGGTAGAGTGCTTGCCTTGCATGCCTGAGGCCCTGGGTTCGATTCCTCAGCATCACATAAGCGAAAAGAAAAAAGCCGGAAGTAGCGCTGTGGCTCAAGTGGTAAAGCGCTAGCCTTGAGCTGAAGAGCTGAGGGACAGCGCCCAGGCCCAGAGTTCAGGCCCCATGACCGGACCCAAAAAAAAAAAAAAAAAAAAATCAAGTGATGAGAATATTAAAGTCAGAAATTCAGAGGAATGTGACTTAGTGGTAGAGTGTTTGCCTAGCATGCATGAAGCCCTGGTTTCAGTTCCTCAGTACCACATAAACAGAAAAAGCTGGAAGTGGCACTGTGGCTCAAGTGGTAGAGTGCTACCCTTGAGCAAAACTCAGGGACAGTGCCCAGGGCCTGAGTTGAAGCCCCACCACTGGCAAATAATAATAGAAACTCACTAATTAACACAGTACTTGGCACTGTAATCAAATATTAGTTTAGTGAGTTACATTTTTTCTTTTTGTTCAGCTAAAGTTGTGCTATCCTTAGGCATTAAAACACAGATCAAAGGGCTGGGAAGGTGGCTCAGTGGTAGAGCGCTTGCCTTGCATGCATGAGGTCCTGGGTTCGATTCCTCAGTACCACATAAGCAAAAAGAAAAAAGCCGGAAGTGGCGCTGTGGCTCAAGTGGTAGAGCGCTAGCCTTGAGCTGAAGAGCTGAGGGACAGCACCCAGGCCCAGAGTTCAGGCCCCACGACCGGACCCAAAAAATAATAATAATAATAAAAAAAAAACACAGATCAAAAAGGCAATATTGTATTTAATAGCCATGAACAAATGGTTTCTTGGAAACTGAAGGGAAACTGAAGATATGATTTTCTTGGGCTCTAGTTTCTCTTAAGATCATATTAAATCTTTTGCTGTTTTTTATTTGGCTAGATGGCCCTTCATAACAATTTGTTATGAACTAAAACCAATTTAAACAGTTATTTTCTTGGCATCAGTTGATACTTAAAATACTGTATTTGTAGTTTGTCATTGTATTTCATATTTCCACTAAGTTCTAAAACTTACTCTTACTTTATTATGTTAGAAATTTTGGTATTGAATGTCCAAATGATTGCAGAGCAAAATTCTGTATTGTCTTCATTTCAGGCCCCAAAATTATAGAAATTATTTAAATGTATTGTTTAGACTGCTTGGGTTGGGTGCACTTGTAATCTTAGCACTGAACAGACTGGACAGACTGATCTGAGTATAAGTATATAGGGAGTTAGAGGCCAGCAGCCGAGGCTATGTAGTGAGGCCCTGTCTAAAGCCAAACAAAAATATTTACTTGGGCTCTGTGGTAGAGTGCTTACCTAACATGCACAAGGCCACCCTGGTTACTGTTGCTAGTACTGCAATAAAAAAAAAAAACAGCACGTAGGCACTGGTGGCTCATACCTGTAATCCTAGCTGCTCAGAAGGCTGAGATTTGAGAATCTCCAGCCTGAATCCCTGAGATTCTTTTTTTTTTTTTTTTGGGTCTGGTCATGGGGCCTGAACTCTGGGCCTGGGCACTGTCCCTCAGCTCTTCAGCTCAAGGCTAGCGCTCTACCACTTGAGCCACAGCGCCACTTCCGGCTTTTTTCTTATGTGGTGCTGAGGAATCGAACCGAGGGCCTCAGGCATGCAAGGCACTGAGCCACCTTCTCAGCCCATCCCTGAGATTCTTAACCACAGGAGAAAAAAACAAAACAAGTGGAGCTGTGGCTCAATGTGGTAGAATGAGCTGGGTGCTGGTGGCTCACACCTGTAATCCTAGCTACTCAGGAAGCCGAGATCTGAGGGTCACGGTTCAAAGCCAGCCTAGGCAGGACAGGCTATGAGACTCTTATCTCCAATAAACCACTAGAAAACCAGAAGTGGCACTGTGGCTCAAGTGCCAGTGTGCTAGCCTTGAGCTGAAGAGCTGAGGGACAGCGCCCAGGCCCAGAGTTCAAGCCCTACCATCTACCAAAAAAAAAAAAAAGATTGCTAGAGCAGGTACTGGTACTGTACCACTTGAGCTACTTTGTCAACCTCTTTTTGTGTTATTTTTGAGATTGGGCCTCAATTTATGCCAAGGACATCAAACCTATTTGTGGTTCCCTAGCCACTGAGATGCTAGGCATTTCCTATCTGGCTTAGCCATTGGTTGAGAAGGAATATGTTAGGTTCCCCCATACCTCCCAGAAAGAAATGGCCCCTTCCCTATTATTCTCCCTTGGTGCACACATGGCCCCTTCTCTAGAAGTCCCTGCCCAGGTAATTGGCACACTTACACTTGGGAGCAGTGGGAGGTCCTCCAGACTCTGAGGTCTTCACTGTGGCCACACTTCCTCCTGCCCTCTCCCTATATATCAGTTTCCATCATTAGTTCTCCCCCTTTTTGCTCCTGGACCCCTTGCAACCTTTCCCTTTGCCCCTTGCCCCTTATTCCTCTGTTCCCTCTCTTCCTCGCCCCTTCTGCCCCTGCATCCCTTGAACCCCCTGCATGCCTCCATTTTGTGCAGGCTGGCAGCATTCTCAAACTCTTTTCTGACAGAACCATGTGGTGGTCTCCTTTTGGCTGAACCTTACATAATAGAACTTTTTTTTTTTGCCTGGCTTGGCCTGGAATACCAAACCTTAGATCTCTGCCTTCCAAGTAGCTAGGATTACAGGCATGAGCCAACATGCCTAGCATTTAAAAAATTGTGTGTGTGTGTGTGTGTGTGTGTGTGTGTGTGTGTGTGTGTGTGTGTGTGTGTGTGTGTGTGTGTG